TTTCTTTCGACACTATTCAAGATAGCTGAACACGACACTGACACTAGTCTTAGTACAATCGGCGAAAACGCTAACATGTCCCCATTAAAACTTACAAAAAGAAAAGAACTCCAGATTTAAAGGATCGCTCTGCTGATGATGTTTATATTTTAAAAGTTTATTACTTTATGCATGATGGCGTCCCCACCTTAAATGCATTGTTATTGTTACACCAATGTAACCCAATAAAATTGTGTTGTTTTTCCCCCCAGGACTTACTTATGAATTGAAGACTATTGTGATATAGTAATTGAATGTGTTATTGTCTGTTACTGTTACTTTATGTTGTGATATAGCTAGTGTATGTGTTGTGGTCTATTACTAGTGTTACGTGATTGTTTGGATAAGGTACCATAATATAAGACTAAGGTTCATTAAAATCATGCAGTACAGTTTAAAGAAAATGTAAAAGAGCACCCCCCCCCCTCTATATCTTTTAAATTTGTTGTGGGCTGTCAAACTTCCTAAGTGATTTAGACCATTTTCAAATCCTCATAAGTATTTTAAACCTCTTTCAAAAGCTGCTAAGTATATTTTTAAACTCTTTCAAAAGCTGCTAAGTATATTTTTAAACTCTTTCAAAAGCTGCCAAGTATGTAAACCATTTTCAAAACCTGCTAAGTAATAACTTTATAATACATTGTAAATGCAAAAATGCCCATTTAACTATATTTTATGTTAATAAACATATCATTTGCAGCTAATCTTACAACTGGAACAAAAACCAGAATCCTAGGATTAGCACATCATTGTGTTTTAGAAAAATGTGTTTTTCTCAAAATCAATCTAAAGTGACTTAGCAAGGTTTGCAATTGGACTCCTCACATAATCTCCGACAACTTTGTACTTGAACACGGATGTGATACTTTAAAACTTCGTGTTTTGCTCTGATGTGGTGTCACAAGATGAGTAATTACATGGGATATCCTGTAAGACTATGTTTGTTAAGGATGATGGTCAGGGTAAATCCCAACGCCCGACGGACCCCTTCTCATGTGGTCGTTAAGTTACCTACCTGATACACGATAAGGCGAGAAGTGCTAAACACTGTTATTAATGCCATGTGTGGGGACGTTCCGTAGCTACACGTGTGTAGATTTCTTGGAACATGAGGGATAATCCCAGACTTTCACAAGGTAGGCTACTTTTTTTTTTGTGGTGGGGGGGGGGGCATACAACATTGACAGCCCTTCACCCTTTCATATAAACTTATAGTTTTAAGAACATCATTAGAGGACATTACATTTTCAAACAAAAATATTTTTTTGGGGTTTTGTGTGTTTGTTTTAAATCCATTAAAAAGTTGTTTTAAAAAATCGCAACATATTCATTGTTGCTTTTTTGTATCTTACAAAAAAAAAAAAAATGTAATTATACCTGATCGTGTGACGTCTATAAAGCGTTGAGAGATAGTTAACATCATTTAGTCATATATTTTAGACGACTTGCTGTCTAATGTTGAGTGAATCAATACATCAATAATTTGTATGAACATCTCCATCTCTCTTTCTCTCTCTCTCTTTTCTTTGTACGTCCAATAAATCGTGGTCAGTTATACGTCCAATAAGTCCTGGGCAACTGTACGTTAAATGAGTCCTGGCGAGTTGTATGTCCAATAAGTCCTGGTCAGTTGTACGCCCAATACGTCCTGGCGAGTTTTACATCCAATAAGTCCTGGTCAAATGTATGTCCAATAAGTCCTGGCCAACTGAATGTCCACTAAATCATAGACAGTTGTACTTCCAATAAGTCCTGGCCAGTTGTACGTCCAATAAGTCCTCATCAATTTTACTTCCAATAAGTCCTGGCCAGTTGTGCGTCCACAAGTCCTGGTCAACTGTACGTCCAATAAGTCCTGACCAGTTGTGATCCAATAAGTCCTGGCCAGTTGTGCGTCCACAAGTCCTAGCCAACTGTACGTCCAATAAGCCCTGGCCAGTTTTTCGTCCAATAAGTCCTGGCCAACTTTACGTCCAATAAGCCCTGGCCAGTTTTGCGTCCAATAAGTCCTGGCCAGTTTTTCGTCCAATAAGTCCTGGCCAACTTTACGTCCAATAAGTCGTAGCGAGTTTTACGTCCAATAAGTCCAGACCCGTTTTACGTCCAATAAGGCCTGGCCAGTTGTACGTCCAATAAGCCATGGCCGGCTGTACGCAATAAAAGTTCTTCGCAGCACAAAGGTCAATATGCTATCTTCTGTTCATAACTAAATGGCCCAAACCAAAGGAGCTTCCCCTTCCATCCGTTGAATCGTCTGCTTGGAATTCAAGTGGCATGTTAACGAGTTGCCCTGCGACTTTTCTGCGAATCCAGTCCACAGATAACGGAATCTTGAAAACATCCTTCCTCGTTTCTTCCCTCCAAAATATGATCGTCACTGTTTCAAAGGAGGCTTGTGAAATGGGAGATTGTGCTGTCGTGTGCGGCATCAATCTTAATGCGACGAACTCACCAATTTTATGTGACTAACTCACCAATTTTATGCGACACAAGTTGAGCGGTATCATTTACTTTCATTGTTTTTTTTCAAATTGTCTTTTGTTTACCTTGCATTTCCCAAAAGCCTTCTGGGGTGATCTTTATTTTGATTTTTTTTTAAATAAAAGATGTGTATGTTGACAATGACGCTTTAATTTAGCGAGGGGCTGTGTGCTGTTGTTGGCGAGTAAGTTTATTTTCGCATACGATGCTATAGAGCAGTGGTTCTTAGGTTCTTAACCTGGGTTCGATCGAACCCCAGGGGTGCGGTAAGTCAGTCTCAGGGTTTCGGCGGAGGTGCAAAAAAAAATATATATATTTTTTTTTTTCCTATTAAGAAGGGTTCGGTGAATGCGCATATGAAACTGGTGGGGATCAGTACCTCCAACAAGGTTAAGAACCACTGCTATAGAGAATTCGGAAAATATGTATTTCCGGTCCAAGCAAATCCGAATTTTTATTAATCTTCATGGTACATGCAATTGAAATTTTGAACATATACCACCATTTTTATCTCTTCTGCATCGTCTTCAATTCTACTAGTCCTAGGAGTGGCCTTGGGCTAGCATTAGCCTTGTACTGGCAGTAGATTTGTACTAGCAGTAGCCTAGAGCTAGCAGTAGACTTGTTCTAGTAGAAGCCTTGTGCTAGCAGTAGCATTACCTTCAATAAAAAATATTTATGAAAAATATACCATTAACTTATAATACGATGAAAGAGAAATAAAGAATTAAAAATTCTTTAATTCTTTATTTCTCTTTTTTCTTTTTTTGTTTTGAATACGATTACCATAACGACAGAAGTCGTACATTGACAATGAGCGGTTAGTAAATTACATACGGTACACAATTTAATTTTTCAACAAGTAAATTATGTGTGCTAAGAGTGACACTTCACAAATCCTAATGGGTAAGCATTCATAAGAAAATGCGGTACGAGATGCCCACTAACAATCAATCAAATAAAGCAACAGAAGGATATCATTTTAGTCATGGTATTTTAGCACAACAAACCACATTGGTATCGACAGGCCAAGTCCCAGATAACTTTAAAACTTGTTCATAGCCTCAAGACACGATTCTTGAGCCACATCAGTCGGACGTCATAGCCTCGAGACACGATTCTTGAACCACATCAGTCGGACGTCATAGCCTCGAGACACGATTCCTGAGCCAGTCAGTCCAACGTCATTCCCTCGATTAAACGATTCTTGAGCCAGTCAGTCGGACGTCATAGCCTCAAGACACGATTCTTGAGCCACATCAGTCGGACGTCATTTGCATGTATTTTAAAAAAAAATAAAAACATTGAATCTTTACAATTACTGGAAATCAGCGAAAATAAACCACATTGACCAGTGGCGTAGCTATGGCTGGTGTCACCCGGTGTGGTAAACTCATGGTGTCACCCCCCCCCCCTCTGCTCCCAACCCCGAATTCCATAATGGATTTCTTCGTGTTCCAAGTCCACAGTATAAGAAAAAGAAACAAATGAATTGAAGGTCAGGGGGTGAATTTATTTAAGAACTGTAACAATATTAAGTTATAGTTTATTTTTACATTAAATTTACTTTATTTAAAAGTGTCTTCTCCTGGTCTTCAAAGCTGAAAACCTGTCAATCATTTGATCGCAATCAACATCCTTCACCGTTTCACATTCAATTGATAGTAGAGCCATATCAGAAAGCCTCGACTGCCCCATGGTGGATCGTTAAAGAGTTCTTGATAAGCCTTGGTTTCTAAAAGATCCACTCACATGAAGCCACAGACACACCGATCGTAAGAAACAATTGAAGGCTAAGCGAGAGTATTTGAAGAGTTTCGATGAGTTACATTGTGGAGAATTTAATATATTTTTTTTGCGGAACACTTGAATTTTTAATTGCGTATCTAATTTATTTTTTTTCGCCTAACTTTTGAGCAGCACCAGTGTCCCACGGAGCATGGATTGAGAACTACTGCGGTTGTGTGTTAGCAAATGCATATAAAGTCGCTTTACTGCATAGAAGGTGTTGTGAAATCCACAATGAGCGATGACCTGGAGCCGGTTCGGTTCTGGCGAACTGGTTTGTTAATCATTCTACCGAATCAGTTGTTAATGTCAAAATAATGCAAAGACTAAGAAGATACACGTATTGACAGATACGTTAACAAATATGCTAATATACTGACAAATACATCGACAAATATAATGCCTTTTTTTATATATAATCTACAATTACCGAATCGGGTGTTGCCTGATTTGCAGAAAACCGCTTTCCATAATATGAAAGAATGTATCAACTCAAGAAATCAAGAAACCTAATTTTGACACACACACACCCCTCCCAGATAGGCCTTCCTTTTAAGTTACTTAAAGTAGTTTTCGGTAAAACCCACATTAGCCGCCAACGCCATAGACTCATACTTAAAATGGTAACGAAACCGCACGAACCTGGGCTGGGAAAACAGAATCGACGGGAAAATCCTTTTAGGGTTTTCCCGATTTTATCTTTTGAGAAGAGCGGTTGGGTGCTGTGTTCATGCAACTCATCGTAAGAAACTCTCAAAATTTCCGAACAGTTAAGTTTTTAACCAATGGAGAAATATTTTCGTTTTAATGTTTAAAATAATTTCTGTGGATATAATAACGCAAGACATGAAGACGACTGCATATATCGCCGTGTATGGATCTGGGGTCTTCTTACATTGGAGACAAGATGTTGATGTGATTGATGTCAATATTGTCAACGCAACCAACAACTTTAATGGCGTAAGTCTAAGTGTGGCAGTTGTAAGTGTTCAATATCGTGACAAATGTTCACTCCTCGTGTTAAATACGAGCCTACTTTCAGTGGCGTAGATACATTTATTGCCGCCCTTAGTAGGGTGTTCTCAAAAGATTCGTAGCAGTAAAATGAGTTGGAGTAAACGTCAAACAATATTTAGACCACTGGTAGATATCCACGCGGGGGAGAGGGGTGGGGCTGTGACTTATACCCAGTGGCGTAGGAAGTGGGGTGTGGAGGGGCCAGTTCGCCCCGGGGCGGCACATTTTCTTTCAAAGGAGGGGCGGCATTTTTGGCCAAATGTAAAGGTTTTTCTACGTTGAAGGGGGCAGCAAAATTGAGGCCCGCCCCAGGTGGCATCACTCCTAGCTATGCCACTGCTTGTACCTCTTTCTGTGTGTTATAGTATACGTAGCAAATTGTGCCTAAAGCAAAATAAATGATTGAGCGACAAGGCCGACGAAATCCAGGGCTATGCGGACCGACATGACCTAAATAATTTCTACTCCGCTCTAAAAAAAACAGTCTACGGCCCCACTTCATCGGGATTATCCCCACTCCTGAGTGCTGATGAGAACTCTCTAATCACCGAGAAGGAAAAAATTACTAAACACTGGGCAGAACACTTTGAAGACATCCTGAATCGACCTTCATCCATCAATGATGACGCCATAAGTCGTTTCATACAGATACAGGTGCCGTTTAATCAAGAACTGGAAGACCCCCCCCCCCCGGCGCCTACCTTAACTGAGACCCATCATGATATACGCCTTCTCTCAAGTGGCAGAGCACCAGCTGAGGACTCAACCCCGTCTGAAGTATACAAAGAAGTGGGGACAACTCTGTCTGAAGTATACAAAGAAGTGGGGACAACTCTGTCTGAAGTATACAAAGAAGTGGGGACAACTCTGTCTGAAGTATACAAAGAAGTGGGGACAGCTCTGTCTGAAGTATACAAAGAAGTGGGGACAGCTCTGTCTGAAGTATACAAAGAAGTGGGGACAGCTCTGTCTGAAGTATACAAAGAAGTGGGGACAACCCCGTCTGAAGTATACAAAGAAGTGGGGACAACTCTGTCTGAAGTATACAAAGAAGTGGGGACAGCTCTGTCTGAAGTATACAAAGAAGTGGGGACAGCTCTGTCTGAAAGGCTTCACCAGCTGTTCATACTTATGTGGCAGCAAGAGATCATTCCACATGACTTCAAAAATGCATCTATTGTTCACCTGTACAAGCGTAAAGGAACCGTCAATCATTGGACAATCACCGTGGCATATCACTGCTATCAATTGCAGGCAAGATATTAGCCAGAATCTTGCTAAATCGTCTTAACAGACATCTTGAGAAGGGTCTACTGCCAGAAAGTCAATGTGGCTTACAGAAGGACCGAGGAACCATCGATATGGTGTTTGCGGCCAGACAGCTACAGGAAGAATGTAGGGGAAAAATGTTGACCTCTTCCCTACCTTTGTAGATCTGACCAAAGATTTCGACACTGTCAGTAGAGAGGGTCTTTAGAAGATCATGGCCAAATATGGATGCCCCAGGAAGTTCGTGTCCATGGTACGACTATTCCATGATGGTATGCAGGCTAGAGTTCAGGATAATGGAGAGACGTCAAAACCATTCCCTGTAACAAACGGCGTGAAACAAGGCTGTGTACTTGCCCCAACACTTTTCAGCCTCATGTTTTCCGCAATGCTGACCGATGCCTTTAGAGCGGGAGATGCTGTAATAGGCCTCATATACAGAACTCACTGTAATCTATTCAACCCAAAGAGGCTACATGCCAGAACGAAGGTCCTGGCAGACACCATTAGGGACCTTCTGTATGCAGATGACTGTGCCCTAAACGCTGTATCTGAAGTGGATATGCAATGCTGCGTCACAAACATTTCTAATGCTTGCACAAACTTCGGGCTTACCATTAACACAAAAGAGACTGAGGTCCTATACCAACCAGCTCCTCGAAGACCTTATGTTGAGCCTAACATCCAAGTATATGGCGAAAGACTTAAGGTGGTGAAAGGCTTTTCTTATCTCGGCAGCACACTATTCCAACGTGCAACTATCGTTGACGAGGTTTACCTCCGTATTGCGAGAGCCAGTGCAACCTATGGAAAGTTGACTAAGAACGTATGGACAGGTCAGTGTCCCAGACACTGAGGTGTTCACACAGGCAGGTCTCCCCAGCATCTTTACCATCTTAATGAAGTCCCAACTTCGCTGGGCGGGACATGTTGTGAGAATGTCAGACGACCGTCTGCCCAAAAGAATTTTCTATGGTGAGCTCGAACAAGGAAAGCGGTCTGCTGGCGGGCGGAAGAAACATTTTAAAGACAACCAAAAAGCCTCACTGAAAGCGTTCAACATAAACCCAGACACGTGGGTGGAAAAACCAAAGGGTCGAACATCATGGCGTTCCACCTTACACAGGAGCTCCATGCAACATGAAGTTGGCTGAACAGCGGCTTTCTTGAGGGCAAGAGGCATGTTAGCAAGGCCCGGCCTGACTCTGCTCCAGGAAATGGCCCATCATTTCCCTGCACCTACTGCACAATAAATTTTCATGCCAGAATCATCCTCATTAGCCATCTGCGCACCCACAGACAGAACTAGCACAAATCTGATGATTAAAGTGGTCATTGTCGACTCCCGACTGACGAACAACAACAACAACAACAACACGATGGGTAGCAAAGTGGGTGGTGAGGAACAAACCTGACAGTCTTACTAATATACTCTAAAAAAAATCAGGTCTTGAGGACTATAGTCTGGCTTTATTTATAAACTTTGCCAAAGAAAAAGTAAGAAAAATGGAAACTCTAACTCTAAAAGAAAATGATGAAGAAAATGGACACTATCTGAACAGAAGCAAATAGTACACATTAACAATGTCCTTACTAACATTGAATTACACAGCTAAAAATAAACATGTTAAATAACTCCGGAATTACTGGTTGAGATACTTAACTGAGTTGAGAAGCACATGTTATACAAAAGGCAATTAAAATTATTTTACCTCTATGTTTAATTAAAAAAGTGATCACGAGGCGGTGTTTAACTTGTAGCACGTACACCGTCTTACACACAGAACCTGTGTGAGGGGTGAGGACTAATCAGGGCCGGCGCTAGGGGATGGCGAAGTGGGCGACCGCCCAAAGCCCCGCGTTTGCGATAGTATAATGTATAATATACCTAAGCCTACTACTAGTTCCTAATCCAGTCAACACAATATTCAGAGTTGTTAGATAGTCAAATGGTCTGAAGGTCAGTCTGGCTCCCATACTATCCCTTCGAGATGAATCTCGGGAAGACCTCTGGGCGCATGTTAAGAAGACGAAAGGGGGTTATCAGGGAATTTTTTACTGTATATAGACCCGTTAACCCGAAAAAAATTGAAATTTCGGAAACTAAGCGAGTGAACAAATATCCGTTATGACGCACCCCATTATGACCAGCAAAGCCCCAGTACAAATATAACGTGTCTTAATATCCTGTCAGCGGAATGTATAACGTCAACGGTCTAGAAATAACTTTTGGTACTGTCGTCCATGTAAGCCTAATGTAAGGTGTCTATGTTGAGGGTTTGGTTGGGAGAGGAGGGGGTGGGTGGGTTAATCTAGGAAGTTAATCTCGAGAACGGTTATATTTAGATTTTTGACTCACTACTTTATGCTATACAGCAGTGGTCATCAACCTTCATAATGCAGCAACCCTTTAATACAGTTCCTCATGTTGTGGTGACCCACCAATCATACAATTATTGTTGTCGCTACTTCATTAATAGGTGTTTTCCGATGGCTTTAGGCGACCGCTGTTTAAGGGTCGTTCGACCCTCATAGTATAGGTGTCGCGACCCACAGATTGACCCTCTGATCTACCCGAACCACTTAATAAGTCACGCTATTTTATGATCTAGATTTCTGAGGTGTTGAACGTTTCTATATGCCGGTGGGCAGCCTTCTTCATGGCCATGAACCGTGAGCGATGGTGATGCGCATCTTAATTCATGGTGATCGAGATGCGAGCGCTGTTGGCGATTGGCCAACATCTAAATCAGTGGTTCTCAACCTTTCTAATACCGTGACCCTTTAATACAGTTCCACATGTTGTGGCGACCCCAACCATAAAATTATTTTCGTTGCTACTTGATAAGTATGTGCTTTTCGATGGCCTTAAGAGTAGTTTGACCGCCCCCCCCACCCCACCAAGGGTTCGCGACCCACTGGCTGAGAACAGCTGATCTAAATGATACTTTATTTTTCACCTAACGTTATTGTATCCGCCTAAAACGTTATATTAAGTGATTTGTGAATAATTGCGTATATGAATGCACTGCATACTCCAAGTAAATTAACGAGACACAAATAATCTGCGTAAACAAGTTAACAAGGCTCTGAAAAACGGAAATAAAGTGGGTAGAAGCAAAACTTAACAAAAACAGAAAAATTACACTGCAGCTATGTATAAATTGTGAATTTAGTATACACCGTATGGATTCAATGTACAAAATATTTTTATTAATTTATTTTCCATATAAATTCCACCAGATGTGTTATTCGCATACAATGTACCAGTAACTGCAATGTCGAGTATTCCCTTATAGTTAACAGTACTGAAATGTTTAGCAATTGGGAAAATGGTTTGTTTATTGATGTTTTACAGGTGCTCTCTGAAACGCTCTTCAGTGCGACGACCTAACTCCCCTACATATGATATTCCGCACTTTTTACAAAGGATCGTGTAAATCACTTTGAAACTCTCGCAAATAAGACCATCTTTGATTCTGAAAATTTCCAGAGGGAAAGTGATTTTACCCACTTGATTCACGAAGGGACCTGCATTACTACAACGGCTACGGTTTCAACTTTTGATGTCTATACGTGCTTTAATAGCAGGGAGGTGGCTTCTAACAAGCATCTCCCTAAGGCTATAGTCTCTCCGGAAAGCGAAAAGAGGAGGTATATTGAAAATCTCATTAATTGTGAAAGGGTCTGCCATAAGAATAGACCTGTTTTTAGATAACGAGCCATAAAGGAATTTAGACCTATCCCCACTTTTAAACGAATCATGTCATGTCTTTACATACGATGGGTATAGCGGGGAAACTGTGACTGTCTGTTTTCTTAGAATTATAAATGGACTTAGATTTTATGTTCTTGTTTATGTTAATTATGATGTTCAATAAATTCACAGTACTCTCATGGATTGTCGAAGTAAATGTTATTGATTGAGGAAAATCTCCAATAAAGTCAATAGAACTTTCGAGTTGATAACCATTTTGGGAATTCCTATGTAAATAACCTGTTTAAAGTCGGAAATTCCCAAATCCCAGTGTCGGCCACCCACACTCGGGCAAAAGGTGCCTTTGTAAATACAGTAAAACCCAGAAGTAGACTATTAGATCTATGACCCATTAGTATAGAAAGACATTCAGATCTAACTGAAAGTTCGGCACGATTTATGGATGTTGATCTTCCCAATGCCAATCCCGTCTCACACTTTTTTCTTGAAAACTTTAAAAAAAAATTATACAGCTGTGTTCTCTCTTCTCTCTCAGTCTCTCTCTCTCTCTCTCTCTCGGTAATCCAAACTGTAATTAACTCTCCATAGCATACATTTGTGTTGAGTTTCACCTGAAAGAACTTTTTATTCAAAGATATATGACTCTTATTTTATGAAAATGTCACAATAAACTAAAAATTTAAGCGATTTTCAAATTTGCTGAAAATCGACCAAAAATTGATTAATTTTTTTTTCGTTTTGAAAAAGGTCAATTTTTAAGGACCTATATTTAAAAAAATAATCAACAGAAAATTCAAAGACTTGGTGTATAGGCCTATGCACCAAAGTTTATAATATTTTTTTCCAAGCAGCTAAAACCATTAATTCAAAAGTAAAAAGATAAATAAAATAAAAAGATTGCTTTTTAGTATTAGTTGTTTTACTTTCCGACATAAAAGGTGTAACAATATATGTCAAAAATTCGTTAAAAATGTGTCATTGACTTGCGTAAACAAATCATTTATCAAATGAATGATAAGTTAGTTATCGGTACGGAAAGGTTTGCCAAATAAAAAAAATACCGGTATCTAATCTTCTTTATTAATACTGTATAATTTTGTTGTTTTTGTTTTAAATTCTAAAACCCTTTTTAATACCAATTTATTTCTAATTGATCCATATTGACGATCGTTTACATTTCATCGATCCCATGAAAAGTGGTGTTGACCCACATGAGATCAATATATACTGACACGTCTTGCTGCAACGGCTTTTCTAACCCTAATCGAACTATTCATCCCTAGTCCAACTTATGGGTCATCCATAAATTACGTACACAACAAAAAAAAAAAAAAAGTCACATTTTCATACGTAGATGACCCATTACGCTAATGTCTTTCTTGTGGCCATTGTTGCAGACTTAAGTCTATTAACTTCCTTTTTACAGCTTGCTATAATTTACCCTCAAAATATATTATGTATTGTGGTCTATATATAAGGCGATACATATGTGTATTGTATACGTGGAGGTAAACTCGGTTGATAGTGATTGAGATACCTACTTGGTACTATTTCCTTTCAACTGGGGCGCAATGGTAACTCTTCCAGTAAAACAACATTGAGCTACATTGTTTTGATCGTCCTAATGCCATTATGGGCCTAATACTTCAAACGGAAACATTGAACTACATTGCTTTCATCGTCCTAATGTCATTATGGGCCTAATATTTCCACGGAAAAGAAGGAAATCCTGAAAAATCTTTAAATGATGCTGCCGGAGCAACAACAACAAAAAAAGTTTTGAAGTCAAAAAGTAATGTGTATCTTCGCTAAGGTGACCTTTTTTTTTTTTTTTTCAAATGTAAAAATATTACATTTTAACATTTTCAAAATTAACCCAGGGCATTAAAATCTTTGGCGCCATGGGTGTCCAAAAATAAAAAAATACTAAAAATAAATTGTGTAATTATTTTAGAAAAAACAACACCAAAAAATCTAAACGGAATCTAAATTTTCTCTGGTCTGGTTTACAAGTGGCGATGGTGTATATGTATAATACTCACTTTCTGCACTTCTGACGATTGAAGCTTAGATCAAAACCATTTAAAATATATTTATTAATTTTACATGGGCGCCCTCAGATGACTTGAGTCATGCGTCAAAGCGTTCGTAACTCTTCCACATCCTTTAGAAAGAAGCCAGACAATCTTTCTAGGTCGTGGGCTATATCATTTTGATCGGCAACCTTTCAGTCCCTGTTTGGCACCCGGGGAAAGATTCATGTTTACGCCCCTCTCAACACTGAAATTGAAATCCAATATTTTCAACAATAATATACCGGTAACATGAAAGACCATTTTGGCGCCCACACTAACCTGGCGCCCGGGGACATCTATCGCCCTCTTCTAATCCCTTTGATACGCATCTTCTGGTATAGCTATAAGTTTGCAGTGATGCAGATTGTATTGTGATAGTGAGATTGATTTCAAATTTTGATATTCAGTTCTTCGATAAATTCACATTGTGAATAAAATTTCTACATCAATCATCAATTACTAGGCTACCATACTTCATAAACATTAAAGTAACCTTAAACTTAATGATTTAACGTATTTAATATAAACAGCATACTCTGTATCGGCTATTTTGTTCTTTAATTTGTATACGTGATAAGATGGCACTTTCAATTACAAGTGTTAGTGAAGCGGTCAATTTAGCTTTTAGGGTGTTAATTCTACTGCCGCGTTTTCGTTCCAAATACCGGAAGTACCGTATGACAAAAATAAACAAATTAGGATTTTATTCACCTACTGCCCACTTGCCAACTCAAACTCTATTAACTCATCCTTAACTATCTTGAAAAAAATACACCCCAAGATAAAGCATATATGGCATTTTAGCCGCATTTTATATAGTACAATAGTATTTTTGACCAAACATATTGTCAGTAACGCCGACGACTGAGTAAGTAGTAAGACACACACAAGTTCACACAAGCCCGCCCGTGAAAGCCGTGAATTGTGAATTCTTGAAGTAACTTACACGGCTAACACGGTAACCAACTTACTCTTGCCCAGGTCACAGTTCAAAGTGGCTACGACTACTAGTCTACGGCACGGACTTTCGAACACTAGTACAAGTACCGTAATAGTTAAAGTTATTCTACAACAAATACCGGTACCCCACAGTCCACAGTCAATGGGACACCATAAGTAGACTATTCTATCTATGGTACAGTGAGTGACCCTTAGAATTTCACACACTTCTGACTTCATGATTATCTCCACCCTTCAAAGTTGTTTGAAAACGGCTGACACAGGCCTAAATCAGTGATTGACTGATTAAAGAATTAGTTTAGGCACTTTGGTATCGCCCGGAAATAACGGAAAAACGGGTGTCATAATTTTGTTGCCAAAATGGCGACCTCCACTTTTTAATTTACTGAGGTTATCGTTTGTTTGCCTTTTATATTCCATTTTTTCAATAATAATTTCTACATCCGACAATTACTTAAAGTTGACATCTTGCTTGTTCAATTGAGAATTCATGTGATTTTTTTTTTTTTCGAGGTTAAAGCTTTGAACAACGCAGATGAAAATAGGTGAACTTCACTGATCAATAACTTTTTTTCTTAAAAGCGCCGTTTTATATTTTAACAAAGTTTAATTTAATTTATAAGGTCATTTATAACATATCCAAAATTCACGAGTGTAGACCATATTCAGGCTTAAAAAACGAAATTCTAAGAAGTCATTTTTTAAGGCTCTGTAATTTGTCATCATGGACACCGTGAGTGACTGCATATTACCAATTATCGATAGCAGCTGTGGGTTACTTAATAATTCATTAAATTGGTTATCCAGAATATAAATGGGAAATATAACTAATAATAAATCATTTTATATAACTAAAAAATGTTTAATAACATAAATTATTATTATTGGCTTATGAAATATCAGTGGTTTTAGCGGTTGGTTGTCATGGACATGGGTGACATGGGATTGATAAGCACTTGTATTTGACTTAGACTTAGTAGGCCTAGTAAAAGAATTATTTGAGTAATTATACTATTTCAAATTCAAATGATTTAAGGAGTGGGATAAATAGCTTTTATTACAACTAATATATTTATATTGTATTAGATATATATAGATAGATATATATAGATATATATACTAATATATATGTGTGTGTATGTATATATATATATATATATTATATATATATATATATATATACACACATACACACACACACATATATATATATAATGCCTATAGGCCTAGTATCTGACTCATCTTTATTTTCGTTATTATTGTTGAATGAATATCTGTAAGTTAAAAATTTAACACCTGAACAGCAATCAAACTGAAAAACCATAGCAATAAATTCTTGTACAACACAATCACAAATGACAAATAATACTAGTCCAACTTCACAATTCATAGCTCACTAACCAAAAGAGATAAAAACATCACTTTTTTTAAATGAAATCACCTAACTTCTTACTTTTGTAAGTACCAGTATCCCAATGTTATCTGCACGAAATCAACATTTCTCACAGCACCGTCTGGTATGTGTACGCTCCCAGATGAAATGATGCTTTCTGTTGCATTAGCAGCAAAGGCGGTATGTCACATTTGGTTGCAATAGTAGAGATTGGGTGAACTTAAATAATGTCCCATGAATAGCCCTTCCTCTTCAATACTGAAATCAGAAACAATAGGCCTAGGCCATTAAAAAATTAATAATTTACATTTATCATGTCATATATTATAATGGGATACTGTGTATTTGGTACTTTTAAGTACAGGTACCATAATTCTGTAAGTGTAGTCTTAATTGTACTTTTAATGGGGCATTGTGAACTTGAGGGGTTTTTACAATTACTTTAATCAGTTAAAATTGATATTACTCTTATACTACTTATAATACATCTTTGATTTACAACCATCATTTTGTGCCTCTTATTTTCAATTAGGATTGTAGTTTGCTAACAATGTTTAAATTTTACATAACTTGACATTGTAATTTATTTTAAATTCTTAACTAATTTAATTTTTGACAGAGATACTAGCTGATTAGTTTAAGCTGTGAGCTACATAATTTGATGAGCTGATTATTCTGTAATGCACTTTTCTATTCATGGAATGTAAAAAAAAAATACATTGCCGATATATATTTGAAAAACAGGTCAGTAGCAACATGTTCACAGAATTATTTGTATAATATGAATCATGGAAATAACTCTCACATTCAACCTGAGTATGGCCATGACATTCCTCCAGATGAGGAGAGAATACCTATACAAATGATAGTTGGTTCCCATGAAAATGACCAAGGAGAAATGGAAGTTGAGTATGAGCAAGTTTATGTTGCTCGTCCTCGTTTTGGTAGATTTTATGAGCCTCAGGATGAAACTCCAGCCGCCCCACGAAATGTGGAACAAGCAAGGGGAAATATTTACTACAGAGAAGAAAAGAGATTACAAACTTTTTCTGGCCAATGGCGTGATGAATATCCAGTTGAACCTGAAGATCTAGCTCGAAATGGATTTGTTTACATGGGACCAGGGGATAAAGTAAAATGTGTGTTTTGTTTAAAAACATTGCGTGGCTGGGAACCAGGAGACACTGTCGAGAGAGAACATCAGCGACATTACCCAGATTGCCCATTTGTGCTAGGACAATGTCATAACCTAAATGTGCCCTTAACAGTGTCACGCAACGCAAGTTATGGGTAAGCTACTTTTACATAGTAAAGAATATATTTATGGTTATGAATATTTAGAGGAGAAAAATATCAAGAAGATAAAAAATTATTTTTTCAATGTGTGTGTATATATTTATATCTATGTATCTATATACCGGGTAATTAAAAAAATATTATATTTGTTGAAAAAGAAGGGGGTGGGGGATGCTCATTTACAATTGTGTAATTTTTTTTTATTGTTAATAATGACCGTTTTCTTTATCTAGGGTAAAACTAAAAGAAGAGGCCAAGCCACAAAAAAGCCAAGCTGATATGCAGGATTTCACCAGCCGGTTAGAAAGTTTCAGAATGGCACCACCTACTATCGGCTCAAAAACAAATGAGTTTGTAGATGCCGGTTTTTTTTACACTGGTAAGTATTAATCGTAAACTTCTTGTTACATTAATGAATTAATGTAAGTAGCCATTTTATATAGCATAGTCAAACATAGGTGTAAGGAATGCTAGTCCATATCCATATAACCATTATATATATATAGCATGGTGAAATCTAGGTGCAAGGAATGCTAGTCCATATTCATATAACCATTATACATATAGCATGGTCAAATCTAGGTGCAAGGAATGCTAGTCCATATCCATATAACCATTATATATATAGCATGGTCAAATCTAGGTGCAAGGAATGCTAGTCCATATCCATATAACCATTATATATATAGCATGGTGAAATCTAGGTGCAAGGAATGCTAGTCAATATCCATATAACCATTATACATATAGCATGGTGAAATCTAGGTGCAAGGAATGCTAGTCCATATCCATATGACCGTTTTATATAGGATGGTCAAATACAGGCGCAAGGAATGCTAGTCCATATCCATATAACCATTATACATATAGCATGGTGAAATCTAGGTGCACGGAATGCTAGTCCATATCCATATAAAAATTATATATATAGCATGGTGAAATCTAGGTGCAAGGAATGCTAGTCCATATCCATATGACCGTTTTATATAGGATGATCAAATATAGGTGCAAGGAATGCTAGTCCATATCCGTATGGACATTTTATATCGCATGTTCAAATATAGGGGCAAAGAATGCTAGTCCATATCCATATGACCATTTTATATAGGATGGTCAAATATAGGTGCAAGGAATGCTAGTCCATATCCATATGGCCATTTTATATAGCATGTTCAAATCTAGGTGCAAGGAATGCTAGTCCATATCCATTTGGCAATTTTATATAGCATGTTCAAATATATGTGCAAAGAATGCTAGTCCATATCCATATGACCATTTTATATAGGATGGTCAAATATAGGTGCAAGGAATGCTAGTCCATATCCATATGGCCATTTTATATAGCATGTTCAAATATAGGTGCAAGGAATGCTAGTCCATATCCATATGGCCATTTTATATAGCATGTTCAAATATAGGTGCAAGGAATGCTAGTCCATATCCATATGGCCATTTTATATAGCATGTTCAAATATAGGTGCAAGGAATGCTAGTCCATATCCATATGGCAATTTTATATAGCATATTTAAATATAGGTGCAAAGAATGCTAGTCCATATCCATATGACCATTTTATATAGGATGGTCAAATATAGGTGCAACGAATGCTAGTCCATATCCATATGGCCATTTTATATAGCATGGTCAAATCTAGGTGCAAGGAATGCTAGTCCATATCCATATGGCCATTTTATATAGCATGTTCAAATCTAGGTGCAAGGAATGCTAGTCCATATCCATTTGGCCATTTTATATAGCATGTTCAAATATATGTGCAAAGAATGCTAGTCCATATCCATATGACCATTTTATATAGGATGGTCAAATATAGGTGCAAGGAATGCTAGTCCATATCCATATGGCCATTTTATATAGCATGTTCAAATATAGGTGCAAGGAATGCTAGTCCATATCCATATGGCCATTTTATATGGCATGGTGAAATCTAGGTGCAAGGAATGCTAGTCCATATCCATATGGTCATTTTATATAGCATGTTCAAATATAGGTGCAAAGAATCTAGTCCATATCCATATAACCATTATATATATATATATATATATAGCATGGTGAAATCTAGGTGCAAGGAATGCTAGTCCATATCCATATGGCCATTTTATATAGCATGGTGAAATCTAGGTGCAAGGAATGCTAGCCCATATCCATATGGCCATTTTATATAGCATGGTCAAATCTAAATGCAAGGCGGGACATATTGTTTGTTATAGTTACAATTTTGTAAATAAAATTATGTACTTAAAGGTCCTAAGCTGATATACTGTTTATTCATACATTAAGATAATCGTCTTTCTTTATGCCAGCTGTTCTCAACCTGTGGGTAGCAACCCCTTTGGGGGTCAAAAGATCCACACAGGGTCGCCTAAGACCTTTGGAAAAAACATATTTATGAAGTAGCAACGAAAATAATTTTATGGTTGGGGGGTCACCACAACATGAGAAACTGTATGAAAGGGTCGCTGCATTAGGAAGGTTGAGAACCACTGCTTTACGCCATGCTTGGCACTTTGATAGATACCTGGTATAAAGTTGTAAACTGTTTTAAGCATGCTTATATTATGATTGTGATTAAACAATTAAAATTGTATACCGGTATATAATTAGTAACATACAATGATTATTTATATTCTATAGGTAATAACGATGTAGTCAAATGCTATGCCTGTGGGCAAGAAAAGGGAGGATGGACGTCCCAGGATGAACCCTTGCTTGTCCATGCAAGACTGAGTCCCAACTGTCCTTTCATTAAAAAGACCCTTGCTCCTAAATTGTCACAAGGTGCATCTGCGAACACTTTTCAGAATCAGGCTTCAGCCAGCAATCACTACAGTAATCCACATCCAGTGGCAGAGCAGTCACAGGGCAGTTATAAAACTCAGTCTACACTGGTTCAACAAGCTGCTGGCACTTACCAGAAGGCTCAGATTTATCCACCCCAACAGGTACTTTTTATGTAATTAGCAACAGCCAAAAAAAAAAAAATCCCGAACATCATCAGGACTTAAAAAAATAGATTTATCTAAGTTAAGAAAAGCATCTTTGACCTAGTATCTATATTTTCGGCATTATTGACTGAGGACCAAGGCTTTCATTTATACATGCAGTTGTTACAGAATGATTTGACCAGGCTTTCTTTCATTCAGTAGTTGTTAAAGAATGATTTGACCCTTCTTTCAGAACTATTTTAAAGAGATAGGATGACTCGTTATGATGTGAAATCCCCTTTAACATCTCAGCTACTCCTCTGTACTAAAACTCTCAACATTTTCTTGCCACAATTTTGGTTAAGAAAAGTGATTCAGTTTTCATTTTGCCTCATTCAGCTTTGACATTCTCTTCTTCATTATTAAATTTGTAGAAAAGCACAATGACCAAATTCCAACCTGTCTGAGCTAATTTTTACATAAATCAGTCTCTCCCTACCAAACACATCAAGCGTTGATCTACTTAATTATATTACAGCAGTTTAAGTCATCACAACAAGTGTCCAGTAACGGTCCACAGTTGTCAGTTCCAGTTCAAGTATCCACAGCACAAATAGGTGAGTTAAAATCAGTGACAATAGGCATACCAGTCATGCTGCTACACACACTATTGATATTATACACACCGGTAATACCATTGATATTATATACACCATTGATATTGTACATACCGGTAATACCATTGATATTATATACACCATTGATATTGTACATACCGGTAATACCATTGATATTATATACACTATTGATATTGTACATACCGGTAATACCATTGATATTATATACACCATTGATATTGTACATACCGGTAATACCATTGATATTATATATACCATTGATATTGTACATACCGGTAATACCATTGATATTATATATACCATTGATATTGTACACACCGGTAATACCATTGATATTATATACACCATTGATATTGTACATACCGGTAATACCATTGATATTATATACACCATTGATATTGTACACACCGGTAATACCATTGATATTATATATACCATTGATATTGTACATACCGGTAATACCATTGATATTATATACACCATTGATATTGTACACACCGGTAATACCATTGATATTATATACACCATTGATATTGTACATACCGGTAATACCATTGATATTATATATACCATTGATATTGTACACACCGGTAATACCATTGATATTATACACACCATTGATATTGTACATACCGGTAATACCATTGATATTATATACACCATTGATATTGTACATACCGGTAATACCATTGATATTATATACACCATTGATATTGTACACACCGGTAATACCATTGATATTATGTATACCATTCATATTATACATACCAGTAATATCGTTGATATTATAATTATATATGCCATTCATATTATACATACCAGTAATATCGTTGATATTATAATTATATATACCATTCATATTATACATACCAGTAATATCGTTGATATTATAATTATATATGCCATTCATATTATACATATCAGTAATACCAGTGATATGATGCAGACCAGCTTATTATACTTTCCAGTACCAGTGATATTATACACACCTTTAATATTATACATACTGGTACCGATATTAAAATATTATAATAATATTATCATACATTGCTTTATTGTATTAGAGTTTATTTTTTCAGTGTTATTTTCTCATTCTTAGGTCCATGTCCCTTAAATAGTCATGCTAACTGATCTTCCTTATATATCTAAAGCACCCTTAAAAAAAAATATTTCCCTTGGCTTAGTCATTTTCCATGTGTAGCTGGTACAAATAGCAGTTGGTATGAGAATGTTGCCTACAGCAGGTATAACGTTAAACTCTCCCAGAATGATAGTGTATTTGTTGAATAAAAAGCATTCTTAAATGTAAAGAACACACATAAAAAAAACTCACAAATATAACTTAAAAATACATTTTACCTTCACCAACTTTACGAAATGTCATATAGTGCAAAGATTTTTTTTTTTAAAAGCAAACTCTTTGTATCCCGTTCATTAACAGATGGCAGTTGACTATTCTAGTATTTGAATCTTCTAATCAGGGATAGGCAAATGACATTTTGCTATGACGACTGACAAATTTGTTTACCTAAATTGCCAAATTCAGTTTAAAAATATGTTAGCAAACAAAATTATAATGGCTTCTGAATTATATTTATATCTGTCTACCCTTGCTCTCATGATCCATCAGTAGAAATAGAAATACAATAAATATGAAAAACATTGGCACTTTACGTGTCTGCTCAATAACTACCATAAAAATTCAAGCCCCATATTGCATTTTCTGTTGAAGAGCAAATAAAAGTGAAATTTGTCTCTCTATAACCAACATGAAGAAGAAAAGAAAGATACTATGGGGTCTATATCCTAGTCGTGAGCAGCAGCCCAATCTTTTTACAAAACAGCCACTTTGTATCTGATGATAATTTGTTTACAAAACAGCCACTTTGCATCTGATGATAATTTGTTTACAAAACAGCCACTTTGCATCTGATGATAATTTGTTTACTAAATATCCACTGATGATATTTTGATCTATATTTGCTTATTATATTGTTTTTCCCAGAAAGTGACTTAAAGAGTCCAGCAGTGCAAGCCATAAGGCAATTTGATGAAGATGTTTCGGTAGAAGAAATAAGGACACTTTTGGAATCTATACGATTAGAAAAAGGTATTGTATTACCATCTATACGCTTTCTAAAGCCAACATTTTTGGAAAAATTACGGGAAATAGAAGGGGTGATTGCAATATGAGCGGGTCACAGGAGACTTTTTATGATTTTCTTCAGGTACCCTTTACATTCTTATTGTGGATAGCCGAGGTCCTAGTCTACCCTTTTATCTACAAGATTCGAATACAATACCAGGGGCTTTAAATACTTATAAAGTATCTACACTTACCTTAATGTACCATTTTAGAAACTCTGTTTTTAACAATTTTTAATTTCACTCACTTTGGCCATTGAATGCCACATTACTTAAAAACAAAGAGACCATAGATAGATGCGCCACTACTCAGTCTATTGTTAGCACCTGTGGAATCTCATCCTAGACATTCTTTGGGCACAGTATCCCTTACACTGGGATATTATTTTAATGGGGTCTGCTTATGAACTGGTCATACACTGTTCAGGGCTTTCCCCATCTAAAAATAAGGGAGGGGTTGGAGGTGGGCTTTAGAACAAGCTTCAACATTCATGATTTTGATTAAGGTTATTTTTATGAAGGGCATGATCAGGTTATTTTTATGAAGGGCATGATCAGGTTATTTTATGAAGGGCATGGTCAGGTTATTTTTTTATGAAGGGCATGGTCAGGTTATTTTTATGAAGGGCATGGTCGGGTTATTTTTATGAAGGGCATGGTCAGGCTATTTTTATGAAGGGCATGGTCAAGTTATATTTTTATGAAGGGCAAGGTCAGGCTATTTTTATGAAGGGCATGGTCAAGTTATATTTTTACGAAGGGCATGGTTAGGTTATATTTTTATGAAGGGCTTGGTCAGGTTATTTTTATGAAGGGCTTGGTCAGGTTATTTTTATGAAGGGCATGGTCGGGTTATTTTTATGAAGGGCATGGTCGGGTTATTTTTATGAAAGGGCATGGTCAGGTTATTTTTATGAAAGGGCATGGTCAGGTTATTTTCATGAAAGGGCATGTTCAGTTTCATTTATGTACAGGATGCACTGACCAATGAATTCATCAGGGCCCTTGTTATGTAAGTGCGTATTTTATACAAAATTAAATTCAATTTTGTAATTTCAATTTTTTTTTAAAGGATTTTGAAATTGATTTTCAAAACAGTAAAAATATATTTGTTATCTTTGACAGTATAGTAAGTTGCTAGTTAAATATTTTATCTTGTCATATCCTTTCTCAGCTTGCTTCCATCTGAGTTCACTTGTCATGCTCTTGTATTTGCCAGGTCCAGATTATCATATCAAGCTTATGGATTTGGAACAGCTCCTAGATAAACCCAAGCATTTGTAATTTCGATGTTTCCACTAGACTTCTGTGTAAAGTGGATTAGCCTATGCGTGACTGACAACAGCTGCTCTGTTTGCTGGAGATGCCACCTGAATGGCTGACATGAACGAGAAAACTCCCAATTCTAAAAATGCCATTTATTCAGCCCAAATAATATGCACATTGTCAAAAAAACAACTTTCTTTTTTCTTTGACCAACTTGCTGCTTTTTAAATGCAACTGAAAATAGATTTTGAAATTAATTGAAAATAGAAGGAAACCACAAAGTTCATTTCTTAGGAATAGTCAAGATCACATTACATCCCTGGAAACTCCTGGTTTGGTGTTCAATCTTTTGGCAAAGTTTTCAGTCTGATATTTACAGGGGTTGAAACATCTAAAAAAAAACAACTGTGTAAATGCACTGAAAATGTGATAGCTTTTAGGTCTCAGCTAAATTGCATATAAGGACTGTAGATGCCTTTCAACATGGTAACTAGCAGCAGTGAAGTCATGGCTACATCTTTGGCAAGCAAGCAGCAGCAGTAAAGTCATGGCTACATGTTTGGCAAGCAAGTGTCAAGCTGAAGCACTAAACCCAGTAAGGATGAGCATTTATGAAATTAGTGCTACCACATTCAATGGGCTACCTGCCACATCTGTAGATTGCTACCTGCAACATCTTTAGAGGGCTACCTGCCACTTCTACAAAGTGCTATCTGCCACATCTGTAGAGGGCTACCTGCCACATCTGTAGAGGGCTACCTGCCACATCTGTAGATTGCTACCTGCAACATCTTTAGAGGGCTACCTGCCACTTCTACAAAGTGCTACCTGCCACATCTGTAGAGGGCCACCTGCCACATTTGTAGATTGCTACCTGCAACATTTTTAGAGGGCTACCTGCCACATCTGCAAAGGGCTACCTGCCACTTCTGTAAAGTGCTACCTGCCACATCTGCAAAGTGCTACCTGCCACTTCTGCAAAGTGCTACCTGCCACTTTTGCAAAGTGCTGCGTGGCACTTTTGCAAAGTGCTACCTGCCACTTCTGCAAAGTGCTACCTGCCACATCTGCAAAGTGCTACCTGGCACTTCTGCAAACTGCTACCTGGCACTTTCGCAAAGCGATACCTGTCACATCTGCAAACTGCTACCTGGCACTTTTGCGAAGTGCTACCTGCCACATCTGCAAAGTGCTACCTGTCACATCTGCAAAGTGCTACCTGCCACATCTGCAAAGTGCTACCTGCCACATCTGCAAAGTGCTACCTGGCACTTTTGCGAAGTGCTACCTGCCACATCTGCAAAGTGCTACCTGTCACATCTGCAAAGTGCTACCTGCCACATCTGCAAAGTGCTACCTGCCACATCTGCAAAGTGCTACCTGCCACATCTGCAAAGTGCTACCTGGCACTTCTGCAAACTGCTACCTGGCACCTCTCCAGTGGAGCTGGCCATAACAGGAACGTTTGCACTCAATGGTCCTCCTTTCTGTCAACACTTCTGAGCATTGTTGGATGATAATATCTAATCCATTGATTTTTCATCAGTATAATCATCATTTCAGTTGGATTTAATACTTAAATTACCCCATTAACCCTTTCCGTTGCAACATATTGTATACCCTGTCCCTCGCCACTAGGTGTAGCACACCCGTACACTTGCTGTAATGGGAAAAAGTGCTTCTGGCGATTCCTGGCAACTGGCTGGGTTAAACACTTAGTCTTATATCACAGTAAACGGCTCTCTTTATGTTATTTTCTTTTTTACAAAGTGGCATAATTTAGTTGCCTTGGAACCAAACTCCCTTCACAGATCACGTTGTTTCTCCCACTGAAGCATTTGTTCTGTATATTAATGAGAAATGATGCAACAATAGCTGACTGCACCACCAGGGAAGGCGAGAAAGTAAAAGAAAACTAATGGCAAGGTACTGATGCGATCTAAATGAAAGCTTTTATTGGTTGTCTACTACACACGCTCTTCACCTCAACAGCATTTCAGTGGAATTTTTATTCAGCCCTGTTGATGGAAATCCTCTTTAGGGCCGAATTTTCAATTAAGAGATTCAGCAATCTTCTGATTCTTATTGGCTTTGACAACAAGGATACTAGACCAATCATTTCTGGCGCATGACATCTTTGCTCCTATAAGAGATGTATGAGAAGCATTTCTGAGTAATTTAGCAAGTTACTTTGTTCCTGGAGAGAACATCACAGTAGGTGAGCAACCGGTTGGTTTCAGAGATTGGTGCAGATTTATTTAATGTATGTCAAGACTGTGATTTATCTCACAACGGACTTCCATGGCTGAAATATTGAAATATTGGATTGTTGTGTTCGTAAAGCTTTTAAATGGTACCAATGGGGTAAAAAGTAAACATACTGTTACAATTATTTATTTCTACACTAGGGGGGCCTTTCCCCTGTAGCCCATGAGGGACCTTTCCCCTATAGCCCATGAGGGACAGCTGCACTGCTCCACTTGCTTTGCTCACTTACTTTGTCTCTGTGGTTTTTGTCTTTCCCTTTATTCTGTCACACATGTATCCATTATCTATTCTGTGGTGGTCTTTTTTTCCCCAACCCTTATAGAGAATTCCTGTAGCAAAATTAAAATGCCATTAAAAAAAATGTTAATACTAAATACGTATCAGTGTACCTGTATATATCATTTTAAACGTGTGCTGCCTACATTTCCATCTTATTAAGAATCTACAAAAGATATGAACACATAAAGCAGTGTTATCCAATCCGTGGTCTGCATGTGCCCTGTGAACTGATCTTAAATGGCCTGACAGAGCTTGAGAAATTTTTATGATGTGAGTTAAAAAAAAAGTAACATTTTAGGTGAAAAATTTCATCAAACTATTGGTACATTCTTTGATTCAGTATGGTTGGGAACAATGTGCCCTTTAAGCTGTGCGGCCGCGCAGCAATCTCACATACGCCGCGCAGCAATTTTGAGTACCGCGCAGCTAATTTCCACTTAAGTGTCTGTAGGCTGAAAATTTTGCACAAAAAAAAATTGATGCTGTAAAAATTTGCAGACAACTTTATGATTTTGCACACGAACCAACAAACCTTAGAGGGAACATTGGTTGGGAACTCACTTGAGAACACATGAGATGTTGTAACATGTACATGTAGGAGGTCACAAAAGCTGAGGAGTGGGATGGCTTGACAGGTAGCAGTAATTTATGTTACACACCTCAGCAGAGCAACCATTCGGGTGACATGAAATCAGTTTCAAGCTTGTACAGAAAACTACTGGTGCCTCAAATTAAGAAATTGCAAGTTCAATTCAAAGCAAAATATCTGACAAAAGAAGTTCCACAGTTCATAAACGGTATGTTCTCATTCTTGATGAGCCGATATCGCTATTGGATATATCATTTTTTTTTTATGCATGAGGTAAGAATTATGAATAAAGTGAATAATTTTCTAAAAGGTGCCAAAAAAATGTGCAGCTCTGGGCTTTGCAGAAAAAATGTTTCTTTGGCAAGAAGATTAGAATGCACTGACGTAAGGCAGTAAGATCTCAAAATGTAATACGCGTCGATAATTTTAAATGATTAAAAAATTTTTGAAATTTATTTTCCACTGAATATAATTAGGCAATGTACTCCCATGCTATAAGTCACCTGATCTGGTAGTAGTGTAAGTCTAAAAAATTAATTTTAATTATAAGACTTTGATAAATGCATTTTAAGTGGCTGTGAAACCAGGTCATCAATTAATTAGTATTTTCCATGATGTTCACATAAACGCCTTTTTTATACCAGAGAAAAATGTAAATACCATATGCAAACTCAAAAAAAAAAAATGTTTGTTTACATGTATGGAAAAATGGGAACAAATAAATAGATGAATGCACATAATTTAAAAAAAAAAAAAATTTTGTTTTTGTAAACCTTAGTTGTTAAAAAACTTTGGTCAAGCTGAAGCTCATTTTTAACAAAAAAGTAAATGTGAAATAAACATCAGAGAAATTGTATTTTTATTTTAAGTGGCTGTGAAAACAGGTCATCAATTAATTAGTATTTTCCATGATGTTCACATAAACGACTTTTTTATACCAGAGAAAAATGTAAATACCATAAGCAAACTCAAAAAAAAAAATGTTTGTTTACATGTATGGAAAAATGGGAACAAATAAATAGATGAATGCACATAATTTAAAAAAAAAAAAAATTTTGTTGTTGTAAACCTTAGGTGTTAGAAAACTTTGGTCAAGCTGAAGCTCATTTTTAACAAAAAAGTAAATGTGAAATCAACATCAGAGAAATTGTAATTTTTTTTTTTTCATTAGTTTTTATGATTCTCACGTTTATGTGATACATTTCGTATCACAAGACAATTGCCTATCTAAATAGAGGGTTCTCGTTCCTATTCCTGTCAACTAACATGATACAGAGTGTATGCAAAAATTGTGTATTTTCCTGGCTCACCCCACTCCTTCCTTTCTGACATTTTCCTTTGCTGTTCTTGGATATTAGCTTGACACCCCCCCACCCACCCACCACATTCACAAAAAGAAAATTATATATATATTCAAGGGCTTCACTAATCATGGACGTAGCTAACCAGTGTAATTTTTTTTGGTCTTGACTTATTGTGTGAATCAGATTACACTCATCAGCATGCTAATTTTTGCATCAACAGAACATCCCTGTGCCAGAGATATCAAATGATAGTAAAGAAATGACAATTTGTTTATTTATCACTGATAGATTGTGTTAGCTATTTAATATTTTATAACAAAAACTCAATTAATATGCACATTGTAAATATACATTTGATTGTTGATTTCTATTAGATTATTCATTTTACCAGATCTGTTTTGAAATTTCTCTTGGGCTCAGACTTTTTTTAAATTAAAACTCCTACCATGGCATTTTATTGTTTTTCAATGATAACAATATTATGCCGCATCATAGTTCAATGGGGTCACTTGATTTTTTTTCAACATCCATAAGTCAATTATTGAGCAAGGAAATGAAACACAGTTTTAAAAAATTGTTCTGTATCTTGATAACGTTGTCACAGCCACGATACACAAAAAGAAGCTTTCAAAGTTCGTTTATTTTTGCTTCAGAATACACCAATAACCCAATCAGTGGGTATGTTTCAGTGTTATTAAATTGTTAGTTGAAAAATTAATGCATTTTTAAACCTTTAATAGATCCATCTATACAAGCATCATTTAATGTTAGTGCTGGCTTTAGTTTTAACAAAAATACAATAGTGCTTAAAAAAATTTTAAAATATATTTAAAAAACCAGTCTATACAAGTACGATAGTGATGAATGGGTCTCAGCTTAAAATTTTAAAAAATATATTAAAAAACCAGTCTATACAAGTACAAAACTGTTGTGTTTAACAGGGAGTGGTATCTAGTATTGTATAAACTATGCTTATGTTTACAGTTCACACTGCAGCATTGTTGCCGGCTTTTGATCTTTTTGTCATGTTTGGAAATGAACCAAATTCTATTTTCAAATTTGGCATGTGTCTTTGTTTTCTTTAGTATTGTGAATCACTTTGTAATTTTTGTAGACATGACCTATTTTGACACTGGGCAAAGACATGTATATTCTGTATACTGTATTAAAATTAAAAACATGAATAATTGATACGTTTTAATGATATGGTTAAATGTTATTATATCAATCTTGGAAGACATTAGACCAGTGGTTCTCAA